TCTAAAGAGTGAAAAAAGATCAAAGACAAGTATCCCTCACTAGAAATAGCAGTGGGACTAAATATATTTGTCATTTTTTTGATTGTAGGAACCACATAGTTTGATCTCCTTCTTCCTTTCTTCTAATCCTCCACACTCAGAAATGCAGTCTGTGCATTAAACTCAAGATCAGTCTTTCCATTAAACTCCATTCTGCGGGCCTTCACTTAAAGCTATTTACCTGTACTCAGCCCATAAGGTCTGATTATCACAATACCTGTGACCTTTCAGGTTGACGTTGCAGTTGCCTTATTTATTGTCTGCCCTGTTTACATTGAGGATAAAAATCTCCTCCAGTGTTCTACAATTCATGCTGGGAGGCATATCGTCATGGTTCGAAAAAATAGTCGTGTTGGAATTATATTTCTATGTTGAAAGACATAAAGTCCACACATATGCTTATGTCTTTCTGTAACCATTGGGCACTTTGAGCTGGGGTCACCCTTTTGAAGTGGCATTTTCATTTAAATTTATAAACTTCTTTTGATATTTTGAATTTTGTTAAAGCCCTAGGGGCTTTATCATGAATTTTGCCTGACTTGTTCTTTCTAAAATATATAAAAAGGTATGAAGGTGCAATGTCATCTTTTTTTAAATGATTACAGATAAAACCAGTCAATGAACAGTTGCGAGAAATTAAAGGAGCAAAAATGATGATTGATGTTGTTCAGTGTGTATCACCTCAACTGAAGAAAGTGCTACAGTTTGTTTGTGGCAATGGACTAGTATGTGAGACCTTGAAAGAAGCCAGGCAGATTGCGTTTGAAGGAGCAGAGAGGCTTAAAGTAAGCAAATCTGTCTATTCCTAAATAATACTAAGATTTAATTCTATTGAATTACATTAGGTATTTTGCATAGTCTATCAGATATCAAAATCAGATAATTGCTAAGGTGCAGAAGGAAGCCATTCAGCACATGGTAATTGCACCACCTTTCCGAGCAGTTTGTTTTAGTGCCAATCCCCTACTTTCTCCCTGTGATCCTGCATATTGTTTCTATTTAAATAACCATACAATGCCCTGAACCACTGTTCCAGGCAGTGCATCCCAGAAGGTAAGAGAGGAAGAACTGCTTTCCTGTTAGGTACAAATCTGAGTTGGATGTGTACGCCAATTTCCTGCTTCTTGCAGCGTTCAGTAAATTATCATCTTTTTATTCTCTTATGAACAAAAATATTGTTATTGTAGATGTGCAAGAAATTAGTTTTGAAAAGTGCATCAGGCAAAATTTCCCCTCCCTGGTGTGGCAAGAAAAGTGTCGCACAATACAATGTGAATGAAAAAAACATCAGACTCCTGATGTTGCCAAAGATTTTCATGAATTTTTCCTTCCAGCCGTAAATGGTGACAAGAATCTTGCTATTGAATGGTTTCTGTACATTTTTTCCATACATTTGCATCTCATACGGCCCCAAATCACTCTATTTGAATGCCACTAACAAACTGAATGGTGCAAATTGCCAACGGGTAAAACAGAGCTTGGATCCAGCAGCTAGAGCACACTGAATTTGTCACCCAGCAATATTGCAACTGCTTCTTCTAATGTTGCTGCATGCTCCATGGTCACCATTCTTCTCAATCCTTCATCCATACAAGTTGGCACTGGCAAACTACCAGTCTTGTCGCATGATTGTGCCTGCTGTCAGACCAACTTAGCATTTTAGTGCTTTACTTTGGAGCTCAGGGTCACCTTTGATTTGCATGCTTATGCCAGGTCATTTTGCATGCAGGTACAACACAATCCCAGCAGAGTCTAGGCATCTGTGTCCTTACAGTCCAGGAAATGTACACAGTCAGTACTGCGTGTCAAGTACAAGTAGTCTGGAGATTACAGATAGGGTCAATCAGGATACTGCTGAGAGACTAATCTGCTGGATTGGGGGTGGGGGGTGGGGTGGTTTGGGCCACAGTCAGTTGGCACCCTTCTGCAAAGTCGTCCTAGACTTTAGTTAATAATGGTTGGGGCAATCATGGACTCCGAGGGAAACAGACAACTCAATGGAATGGGCTTCACTGTACTGGGTCACTGAGGAAATGGTGATAGTGGTGGGAAGTATTTGAACATTGTGAATGGGAAAGGACTGAGAGCTCAGGAAGTATTGTTCAAGCAGTTTACTATAATTCTGGCTGCCTCATGAGGAAGGTTTAGTGCCACAAAGAGTGTGGAAATTTCCAAAGTCATATGGTCTCTGCTTCAACCAGGGCCATTGTGGAACAGGCCACAGGTCTCATTAAGGTGAGGTTTGCATGCGTAGGGCCGTCTGGCAGGCCTTACAAAATGGCCCGGAAGTGTAGCATTGTGGCATTGCTGTGTCCTTTAAACAGGAGCCAGCAAAGAAGGGATGTTCTGGATGCAGAGGAAACAGAAGATCAATAGCAGTCTTTTGAAATGAAGATGAGGTTGAAGATCAGGACATTGATCAAGAAGACTGTCTGAGATAATATGACAGCGCAGTTCACAGAGCATTGCAGAGCCTGAGAGGCCAGAGAGAACCTAATAACCACCTGCTTCCAGGATAAGTGAGCTGGGTTTGGACTTTGTTTAGTATTATGCAATTTTGTTCTTAATCTGTCAAGCAGCCCTCCTCAGTGCAGAGTATATGTGAACCTTGTAGTTTTTGTGGAACATGTTATTTTTGCAGTCCTTGATCTTTTGTGTCGCTGAATAAAGGTCTCATTGTCCATGTGATTGTATGCTGCCCTAGATGACAAAGAAAAAGCAAGATTCATTGAATGAGTTTGTTAACTTCTTACGGTGCTAAGGTTAGTTTGCTGTTAAGATAGTTGTTAGGAAATGATATTTGACCATTGTACAGTGAAGTTGCTCATGGTACCCAACAATTTGACAGGAGTCCTGAGGAACTTCCTTTTATTCTGTTCCATCATCAGTAGCACTTCATGTTATAGATTACTTTAGAAGATAAATTGCCTTGAATTCTTTGAGGATTGAACCTGTGAGAGGCATCACTTTGAGCAGCTTTTCTCACACACCAGTGTGCTATGAAGGAGAATATGTGAGGTGTCCATTGTGCATCTCTCAGCCTTGAATTGCTTTGCACTCTCCTGAAAAAGTGGTACACAGAATAAATCTTATTGATCAGAGATGGGTGGAATCATCACTATTTCTGTACTCCCAATCATAACGGTGTGTTTAAGTGTGGAATGATGTGTGCAGGCTTGGCTCTAGCACATTCCCAGCTCGTTGCATTCAGCCTCATTATTGACCACATTAAAAATGCCTTGGATGCAGTCCTTGATGTCATGGTTCAAGGATCCCTGACATCTGAGGCTATCTGCTGCCAAAATGTCAGATGCTTCTGAGAGATAAACAACACTTGGCGATTGCAACTTCTTTCATCCGAAGTGGCTCCTCATTCTGTGGTGGCACAGTGGCTCAGTGGTTAGCACTGCTGCCTCACAGCGCCAGGCACTTGGGTTCGATTCCACCCTCTGGTGACTGTCTGTGTAGAGTTTGCACTTTCTTCCCATGTCTGCATGGGTTTGCTCTGATTTCTTTGACTATCCAAAGATGTTCAGGTTAGGTGGATTGACCTTGCTAAATTGACCATTGTGTCCAGGGATGTATAGTTTAAGTGGATTAGCCATAGGAAATGCAGAGTTATAGGGATAGGGTAGGGGCTTGGGGTCTGGGTGAAATACTCTTCATTGGCTCAGTGTGGAATCGATGGGCCGAACAGCCTGCTTCCACACTCTAGTAGTTCTATGATTCTTACATGGATGTGACTTAACCAAGTATGAGAATGAAAATTGTACTGGAGGAGACATTTTAACAGTGCAGGTGAAACGGTACTTAAAAAAGGGAAACTTAGTTACACCCGTGCAACTTATGTGACCCCAGTATATTTTTTTCTGCCTCTGTTCCCAACTACATCTGAGTGCCGTCCAACTTCTGCAGTAGGAGTGGAGGAATTCAGCTCTGTGTTTGGCCCTGTCGACTTTGATTACTTGGTGTCTCCTTCCTAATCCCACCTCGGTTACCTTTAGGTTCTAGAGGGCCCAGGCCTGCTGAGTGTCTCCTGCTAAGATGCAGACTTGCACTCCTTAACTTGTACTGCAGCAGGCTTTTGGATCTCAGGCAGGGATATGGTAGAGCGGCCAGGCACTTCCGGAATTTCTGAGAGGATGCTTTTATAGTGCCTATCTGTAGCTCTTCCTCCGTCCCTGCCTGCTGACACCACTTTGTCTCTCTAAGAGGAGAGGGCACCCAGAGTGAGATTGAAGTGCTTCATCCTTCTCTTGCCTTGTCATTGATGCTGATCTGTGTCCATATCTGGCAGCCACTGAGCATTCTGCTGTTGCTGGTTCTCCATGATGCTAGCCAGCCTATCAGTATAGATAGCTAGGCACTTGCGCTGAAGCCAGCACAACACGGACAATGTTGGTGGACTCTGCCATCCTTTGTTCCAGCTTGCCGAGTGCCTGTGTCAAAGTTTCCTAATGTTTCTGTAGGTTGATCAATTCATTAATGACTTAGCAGGTGCCTGGTCTTTAGCATCTTACTAAGTGTCATTTACCTGGGGCAATTCTTCCTTGACTAGCTGTTGATATGTGTCAGCAATGTGTTCACCACATTATGCTCCCAAATATATTCTAGAAAGAGTATCATAGATACTAAAGTCCCTGAGCCGGTGGAAGGTACATGTGAATGCCTTGCTGGTGCATCCTCTGAGGCTTCTCCGGCTTCAGAGGTCGAGTTGGAGCTGAGGGTTTCTGATGCTGCCCTCTTGATGGAAATTCTCTGGGTGCTACTGGTATCTGCATATGAAAACAGAGAGAATTAGTTGTAGAGGATGCATAAACGCTTGTGCAGATCCAAAATGAGCTGGCACTGGTAATAATGGGAGAGTGCTTGTAAGCACAAAGAAGCTTACTGGGACTGTAGCCAATTGATGTCTACCTCTGCCCACATGGGCGGTCACGCTGTTCTTGTTCTTATTTTCTCCTTGTAGGGAGTGAGGAGACTGATGACTGCCAGTCTTCGATTACTCGACCCAATTATGGGCCAGTTTTCTTGCAATGAGACAAAAGGAGACATTGAGTACACAGATGCAGGAGCAGTTAGTAGTCGTACGTGAGCAGGATAAGTATTAAGAGTACATAGAAAGCACAGAAATTAGAAAAGATTAGATGTTTGTAAGGAGGACGTAGGTGATTGTCATTGAGAATTGTAGTTTATGCAGTGGCAAGAGTTGGTGAGAGAATTTTTGTACAGTGGTGTGATTGTAAAATGTAAACTATTTCTACCAAGCTGGATTTGGCAACGTTTGTTAACATGTTATGGAGTTGTTAGTTTCTGATAGGAATTTACTAGATTTGTATGCAGATGAATTTAACCACATTCTATGGTAAAGGTGTAGTTACTCTTTTACAACCCTCTTTTTACAACATAGACGGTGGCGTTAGATGGAACACTCTTCTTAAAATCTGGTGTCATTTCTGGGGGTTCCAGTGATCTGAAGTTCAAAGCCAGGTGCTGGGACGAGAAGCAGATCAGTCAATTGAAAGAAATGAAGGAGAAACTGACAAATGAACTTCGGGTGAGTTATGCTGATGTTGGTTATTCACATTACTTTTAAAGCTGAATGTACTCCTATTTGATGCATATGGATATTAAAGCTCTTCTTAAATTTACCTTTATTTCTATGGTCAAACAGAGCTAGATGTACAGAGTTGATACAGTAATGATTGTAACCTTGACTTACAGGAGTTAATGAAAGTGAATCGGAAGGAAGCTGAATTGAGGCAGTTGCAGGCTCAAGCCAAAGGGACAGAAACTAGAATGAGATATTCCTTCAGTGATGTGGAGCAAACTAGAAAAAAAAATCTGACAAATAGCTATATGGTAAGAATTTATTAAAAATTAAAGAACAAGGTTACTCATCCCATTTTAACTCAACTAACTTGAAAAATCCCAGAGTTCTTTCTGCTTTCAGTTGCTCTTAAATAATTTCACATTCTCTTTCTCTCCACTGTACAGAAAGTCCCCATTTTAAATTGCCCACTTCAGTATTGCTTTGTATGTAGAAAACAGGCACTGTGCCAGGCTGAATGTATTGAACAAAATATCCTTTTTATTTAAAGTAGCATGGTGAAAATGTATACATTCATGTGATTGTAAATACCCTATTTCATGAACTTTTAATTAGGAAAAATCAAAACTAGAAAGTGGACTGGCAAATCTGCAATCCGAAATGACCGTGGTGAGTTTGAATATCGAGGATAGACAGGTGAAAATGCAGCAGACTCAGAATCAAATGAATGAAGTAAGTACGTTAAATGTGTTACTAGATAATCCAATGTATGTTAGAATACATGTACTTCTATTTGATGCACATGGATATTAAAGCTCTTTATAAATTTATCTTTATCCCATGCAAAGAACTAACACAAAGGACTCCAAAAACCAAGCAAAAAAGTATATTTATATATACATTGCAATATATAAATACGTGCATAAGTAGTTACTTTCAAGTTAATCTGGGAAGTCCGAAGGCTGGATTTTTGTCCTAGTTTTGTGAAAAGTGAGTCGAATCAGTTCCTGAAATTGCCAACTTGAACTAATTACCTCCCCTCATGCTGGCCATATTTTCATTTAATGATGTAGATGGTCAAGGTTCAGGCCCTTCAAATCAGTAGGCAGGCCTGAGACAACATTGAAGATGTATTGGCGCCAAGGCGAGCTGGTTAAAAAGCCTTTCTGTTTTCAGGAACATCAGCCTACTTCTCCACATTGTTCTTTTACCAGCTTGACCTTAACCCCTCTCTGCCCTCACCCAGCCCAAGCTCCCTTGTAACCACCTACCTTGTCATACTCGCATGCCCTTCATTCCTCCTTATATGATCCCTGATATCCATGTATCCTGTTAGCTACTTTAGTTTTATCGATTCATGGGATGTGGGTATCGTAAAGGGGGGTTGTGAGCTACATCTTGAATGGCTGCAGTCCATTTGGTCGAGATAAAGCCACATTGCTGCTAGGGAGGGAATTGCAGGATTTTGACCCAGTGGCAGTGAAGGAACAGCAGTACATTTCCAAGTCAAGATGGTTAGTGGCTTGGAGGGTAACTTCCAAGTGGTAGTGTGCCCATGTGTCTACTACCCTTGTCTGCCCTTACCCAATGTCTGCTATGGATAGATGTCAGGAACTGTGTATTTGCAATGGGCAGTTGTTGAAATAAATGTAGAAATAAACTCAAACAATCTAATAGATCTGTCAGTCAAATGCGTACCACACAAGAAAACAAAATCTCCAGGCCAAATAAAAAGTGGTCATTGATATGTAAAGACATACGTCTATTGAGAAACCACATCAATGGCAGATAAACCTTTAATGTCTTTTTAAAACTGTCAGTCAAACAATATGCACAACCACCTGAAGAACTAAGTGCTTCATCAGCATTTTTTTTAAAAAAAAGCATTCATGTAGCTTCACCTCTCAAAACAAATCGTTGTAGCTTCACATAATGGAGCCTATTGAATAGGAAAGAACACATGGCAAGATTCTTTCCTAAGCCACACCAGGTGACCTGTCATTTAAAGAATTTCAGGAGGAAATGGCTGTTTTTATTTTTACCCCCTGACTTAAAGCAGCACCCAGTTTCTTTTCAAAGTTGGACATTTAAATCACTTCAGATCTAGATTCAGGATTTCCCAGGTGGTGGGAAAAGTACACAAATGCATCTCAACACTTTACACTTTACAACACTGAAGAATGTTCAATCACTGATGTAAAAATACGTCTAACTTAGACGATAACATATAATAATAATTGTAAATTGTCAAAATATTTAACACTTAGCTGTCACAATGTTCCTGCCTCCTCACAAGGCTTCCTCTAGTGCACCAAAGCGATTGTATGTGGTGAATTTCCCAATGACTTCTCAAACCCATCCAAGTCAAGTAAAAGACTGTGGGCATGAAGAATGGGCAGTAGGCTTAATTGTGCTACCCTGTCTAACTAAATATATTTTGAGTTTAACTTCCATACTTGAAGAACAGGCACATGGAAGAGATACGAGAGGCCCCCTTGTATGTGAAACCATGCCCTGTAAAAATCACTGAAGGGAGGAAGGGGAGAAAATTGGAAAAGAAAATATATAAGTATGCCAATAATTGTGCAAAAGGACTAAAGGACAGCCCCAATTCTAGGTTCAGATATGAATTGTCATTATAGTTATGATATCGTGGAGGTGATTTTCACTTTTGGCATGGATTAACTTTGTCCACTGAAGTCAGTGGAAAATGAGGATGCATAGTAAGCAACCTATATGAAACTCCCAGTTCACTACCTCACCAAAAGCCATAGTCTAGCTGATTGTTTTACCCATTTTCACCCTATGGTTCCCCATTTTTGTTTGGAATAGAAATCTTATTTGTAATGATGCACAATATTTCTAGATGAAATTTTAGGATGATGCTAAAGAAGTATCTTCAGAATAACTAGTTACTATTTTGTTCTGAATAGGTTGAAGATAGAGTGTTTGAAGACTTTTGTACCAAGATTGGTGTGGCAAATATTCGGGAGTACGAGGATGAGCATGTGAAGCAGTTAGAAGAAATAGATAAGAAAAGGTTATTCATTATTTGAGTAATACGTAACTATGATCCACTTATCTGGAAATGGGCAGCTTAAAGATAGGTGTTTGCTGTAATTGCATATAAAAATTGACTGCATTTGGTGACACTCAGGAGCATGCGCAGTAGCAGAGTGTTAGAATCCTTAAAAACACCTAAAAATGTAAAAAAAAGAGAAAAGTCATACTGGAGAAGAGAAAAAAATAATCAAAGTAACTTTTTTTTTTAATTTTTGAAAATCTACTTTACATTGTGAGCACACCTACAATATAGAACATACTTTTCAAAATTAAGAAAAGCTACTTTGTTTAACAATTTTTCCACTTCATTTTTTATTACATTTTTGGGTGTTTTTAAGATTTTTAATACTTTTAACTTCGCTACTACCGCACATGTGTATTCTCAAAGTGAAAAAAATGGAGATGAGCACGAGCAGCTGGAGTGCATCAATGGTGTCATTAGACACTTTGATCATTTTTAATGAAATAGCCTGCCACTAAAGGATTTTTAAATTTAAGCTGTTGAACTACAAATTGAAAGTTCATTGACATTTTGGGAAATAATTAAATCTGAAATAGGACAACAAACTTAGAATTAGGTTGAAAAATCAGCAGTGTCTGTTATGTTCCTAGGTACGACAGGTTAATGGAAATGTTCAATTGAGGATAATTTGCCCTTTGTACAACCCTGTCAGATTTTCATCCCATTGAAATTAATGGAGTGAAAACTCTTCTCCAATGACTGAGCAACCTATGCTGCCAGATTACTACCCAAGTGGTGAACATAAAAACTTGCCCTATTACATTATGTTAGCATTTATCCACATATTACTGTAAGTGATCTGGTCTCATTCGAAACAGGTTCTTGTTAGAATTAACATTTCACTATTTTGAAAGTATTCCTGCCTACATTGCAGATCAGAATTTGAGAACCAGAAAACAAGGCTTTCAATCCAACTTGAATATTCATATAGCCAATTTGAAGAAGATATAAAAAAAATCCAGAGGTGGAAGGAAACAATTGAGAAAGATGAAGAAGAAATAGTGAAGTTAAAGAAGGTATTAAGTTTGTTTAGAAATTCATGAATGAGCACATTCAAGAACTTTAGCTTCTTTGAAGTGGAGTTAATTGAATATATTCCTTTTCAATTTTACTAATACTGCAAAAAAGTTGAACTTAATCACAATTTAAAAAGTAGTAATCTCAGAATATCTTTTGTAGATCAGCTGAAGTTTTGATTGTTTTCCAGTTACTGACCTAGTTTTACTTGCTGTTCTGTTTATATTCTAAATGTCACCGGTAGGTTGTGAAGTGACAGCATACTCACATAAACAGAGCTTGGTAGTGGAATGGCAGCTGCCTGGAGCAAAAACTGGAACTACTATATAATGACAGTGCAGGATGGAGTTGTCCTAAACACGATTCACTGAAATCTGAGAACATTTCACGTCCTGCTGCAATAATCATTAAAAATAATTCATTAGAAAAACCGAATCTTTAAAAAAATGTTCTTAAGATAGATTTTACCTGATTTTCGGAGATTTTTTCCAGTGTCCCGATTGCTGTAAATACTGACTTGATAGAGGCTGACTTTACAATGCAGGCTGCTCATATATGGGTGACCTGCTGTCAAATTAATAGATTTCTGCTGTTTGTGTGTTTAAAACCCTTGGGCGAATGTAGAATAGGCTATCGCTGTCATTGGTTGCGGGAGATTCAATAGAAGGGAAAGTCATCACAGTTTAGCATATTGTCCATGGTATCCATACATGCATAGGTGCACCTTGGCACGGAAGGTTATATCATGGCAAAATAATGCCGCTGTGTCTGAGCATGTCCCAGTGGCCATTTTATCAGCCATTTTCGGATTCAGTGTAATCACTATGAAATAATACACATCTCTGAGATGGATTTCTTTCTGTAGTTACAAAACAAGTCAGCCTTTAAATTTATTTGGATAACCCACCTCCATGAATCATAAAGTAAGACTGGATGTGTTTTATGTTAATCAGCTGTCACTTTGCGTTTCAGCTCCACCTCATCCCATTTCTCCAACCAGATTAGGGTTTAAGTTAACCCGTGTTATGCCCATGTTTTGAACATACAACGTGTGCATAACAACTGACTAAGCAGTGTAAGTGTTGGCATCCTGTCTACACAGATATTCATTTCACTGCTAAATTTATTTTTAGAGAAGATTTAGGGAATCCTTAAATTTTCGGCTGCTCCAGAAGACACTGATAAAAGGATATAAATTTTTTAAACAGACTTTTAAAAAATTCACTCTGAGGAGCTACGAGAAGTGGGGATGATCCACTCAATTTCGTAGTCCTAGCAGTCTAGTCTACTACATGGAACTCAGCTATAGACTGCTGCTGGTGGCTCAAAATTGAATTTTCTTAATGGAAAATGCTGGTGTTAGAAGCACGTCAAGGGCCATGCTCTCATCTCAAATATGTAAATGAGGCTAAATTTTCGTACAGCCTCAGGCTTCACTGTTCAATTTATGTACTACTCACACAGCACCAGATCTTAATTTCTATGTCATTCTGCTTCATTTTTGTTTTTAATTTATAACACCTTTTTCTTTAATTGTATTGAGTTTAGTTTGCTTTGATTGTCCACTTGCATTTTATCGGTATATCCTTTAATTCCTGAGGGTTAGAAGGTCTCAAAGGGATGGGCAGAGTAAGGTAGAGTGAAAGTGAAGCAATTTCTGTGGTTGTGGTGATAGTAGAAAATAGTGATTTAAGTGAGAAAGAAGATATAATCACAGCAAAGAGAGATTGTAGACCAAGGTGTGGACTGGCTAGTTTAGATCAAGATCAGAGACGAAGAAGGAGAGGCAAGATAATGCAAGTCAGGGGCTTATGAGAGTATAGGTCATGTAGGAGAAGATTCCAGGAGAGGGACAAGATTTAGAAGAGTAAACAAATAGAGGAGAGTTTGGTCTAAAAGTGCAAAATCAAAATCATCAGAGAATTTAACTGCATTGCTGAACCAATAATACAAGTATATGGGAAAGAGGACAGGAAAATAGAGATGAGAGGATGGAGAAGAGAATAGGGAAGGATAAAAAGTTGAAATGGAGGGCTGTTGGAGGGAAGGTTGCAGAAGCGAAATCTGAGAGATTTAATTGGTTATGTTATAAAAATGAGAGTCATGATTTTAACTCATGGGAACAATCAGTAATACCTGATGGGTAGAATCAATGTGAGCCCCAGCTGTTTTAACTTGTCCTAATGAACATTTGAAAGGCAGACTGCCCCCTCAATTGCCTGCAATATCAGGCAGTCCAACTTGCTGAACCTTGTACTTTGCAACAGTACTTAAAGTAGGAATGCAATCTTCCCTTATATTGTTGTTTAAAGAGGCGTGGATGAAGATTGTAACACTGATTGCCTCAAGGTCCTGTTGTCTTCCTGGGTGTCCTAGTGAAAGAATGAACATGTTCGTTTCCAGCACCTTGCTAATGCAAGCCTGGACAGAGATGGCTGATGCGATCAGTGACAACAGCTCTTGAGGAAAGCAAATAAATGAGTTTAGCAGCAATGATGAATATATCTTTTCATTTCTCCATCTCTTTCACCCAGGCCTCAAAATGCTCATCTCGCACCACCCAAACTACTGTCAACTATTATTCCACTGCTTTACCTCCATCTTGACAATGTCATCAACACACTAAAATGCCTCTTGCATTCCAAGCATATTCACTCTGTACTTCACATTGAATATAATCACCACTCATACCTCGCATCCTACCACCAATGTAAACTTGTGCGTATTTTAACTACTCCTTACAAAATTCATATCACACACACATTCCTTGACATTCATCAATGGTAGACGGGTTAGCAAGGTTAGATCACATGGAATACAGGGAGAGCTAGCCATTTGGATACAAAATTTGCTCGAAGGTAGGTGACAGAGGGTGGTGGTAGAGGGTTGCTTTTTGGACTGGTGGTCTGTGACCAGCAATGTGCCACAAGGATCGGTGCTGGGTCCACTGCTTTTTGTCATTTATATAAATGATTTGGATATGAACGTAGGAGGTATGGTTAGTAAGTTTGCAGATGACACCAAAATTGGTGGTGTAGAGGATAATGAAGAAGGTTTCTTCAGAGTACACTGAGATCTTGATCAGATAGGCAAACGGGCTGAGGAGTGCTGGATGGAGTTTAATTTAGATAAATATGAGATGCTGCATTTTGGTAGGGCAGCACTTATACACTTAATGATAAGGTCCTGGGGAGTGTTTCTGAACAGAGCGACCTTGGGGTGTAGGTTCATAGCTCCTTGAAAGTGGAGTTGTGAGTAGACAGATTGTTGAAGAAGGCATTAGGCATCCTTGCCTTTATTGGTCAGTGCATTGAGTGTAGGAGTTGGGAGGTCATGTTGTGGCTGTTGCTATAGAAAAGATGATGTGAAACTTGAAAGGGTGCAGAAAAGATTTACAAGGATGTTGCCGTGGGTTGGAGGGTTTGAGCTATAGGGAGAGGCTGAATAGGTTGAGGCTATTTTCCCTGGAGCATCAGAGGTCGAGGGGTGACATTATAGAGGTTTATAAAATCATGAGGGACATGGATAGGGTGAATAGCCAAGGTCTTTTTCCCTAGGGTGAGGGAGTCCAAAACTAGAGGGCATAGGTTTAAGATGAGAAGGGAAAGATTTAAAAGGCACCTAAGGGGCAACATTTTCACACAGAAGGTGTACGTATGAAATGAGCTGCCGGAGGAAGTGGGGGAAGCTGGTATAATTGCAACATTTAAAAGGCATCTGGATGGCTATATGAATAGGAAAGGTTTAAAGAGATATAGACCAAATGCTGGCAAATGAGTCTAGATTAATTTGGAATATCTGGTCGGCATGGACAAGTTGGACCGAAGTGTCTGTTTCCGTGCTTACATCTCTATGATTCTATGACCTCTTTATATTCGTTCCATCCTCCTTTTTCTAAATCTTTGTTCACGTCTACTCTTTGCATGGTTCTCAAACATTTTTATTTAACTTCTTAAAACACTCACTAACTCCTCCCTCTTTCTCTGCAGAACAATTTCACACTTAATGTCATAGAGAGATGGGTGGTATGCCTGGCATCATTGCCCTCCACAAATGCCAAACAGGGATCCCTAGATATTTGATCCAGGTGGGTAGAGTCTTAAACAATAGGGAAGTGTCTGGTAGCAGACGAAATAGGGTGTTGGCATAACTCTTGTATCCCTCTTTTTAAATCAGCACAGAAGGCAAGCCTAGTGTGTATTCTCAAGTATTCCACCTTCACTCTCCTACCCTAACTATTGTCTTTCTGTTTCTTTGAGAGCTTTCTCAATATCAAGGCATTCCTGTAGAGAAGGACTCCAGAGGAGAACAATCCTGTGAATGCAGAGCTAAGCACTCCAGCCTTTCCTAGGCATAGCTCAGAGATTGGCATTTATTTTAGCCCAGTCGTAAAGTAAATTAACATATAGTAAAACACACGGTTCCAGTAGGTTGCAATAGATACTAGTGGCACATTCAATTCGGGGGGTGCTGTGCTGTTGATGACAGAAAGGAACACATTGAGGTTCCAACCATTGGAAGGTAACCTTATGCAAACAATTATGAGTTGTTGGAAGGTGTGCTGAAGAAGTCAATACAATAGATTAATGTCCACTTCCATATTGAATGATTTCACCACTATGCAATTAACCTTGAATAGCTTGGCCATTTCCAGGGACACTGCAGCTAGGTTTTCAACAGGATTTCACACGAGCACACTTGGCTGATCTAGTGGAAACTGAAACGGTTGCCTTGTAAATACTGGGCACTATATTGAAGAAACTGGTGGAATGAATGGTTTTGGATTTTGAAGATATTGATCATTTTTGGAGGTGACCTAAAACCTGTGAAACAGCTAAAAAATAAGTAAAAACCGAAAGAACTGCAAATGCTGTAAATCAAGAACAAAAACAAAGTTGCTGGAAAAGCTCAGCAGGTCTGGCAGTATCTGAGAAGGAAAAAACAGAGTTAACGTTTCGGGTCTGGTGACCGTTCCTCAGAAACATTAACTCTGTTTACT